CCACAGGGGGGGGGGGGTGTATTGGTTTGCTTTGGGGAAGGGGTGCCTTGCGCAGCTCCATTGTGGTCCTTTTCCCACGTTTTTCCTTCCTTTCGTGCCGTAGCAACCGCGTTGCGGGGAACGCACATATACGCCACAGCGCCCGCACTCGGTCTGAGCGTCGATAGGTGGACATTAGTACGTACACGTAGTTGCATACCCGTGTGTGTATAATATATACGGAGACTTTGGCTCAGTGGAGGCAGGACGGCACAGTCACGTAGGGAAAGGAAATCGTTATCGTCCGGGGGCGTCTCTTTGGTTGTCGTTCTCTTTTGCTTTTCCCGTCGGCCTGTCTGTCGGTGTGTGCGTGGGTGCTTTAGCATTGACCCCCCACCCCCTTTCCATCTCTAGCAGCTCAAGTGGGGTGTCGCCGTTAGCATTATACTTTGCGTTGAGTTTTCGTCGTTCGTCGCTACTCACCCTCTGAAGCAGGAAGGCGGCGAAAGGGTGGGAGTGCCCTCTTATTTGTGTTGTATTTAGTGGTTTTTTTTTGTATCTAGTGGAAATGCAGGAGGCATGGACCAGCAACACCGAGCAGTGCTCGCCAAAGCAGTTGCCAGTGGGTAAAACGCATCATATGAAGATTGCGGATGGCCGGTACGTGCTGCTCCAACGCATCGGCGGAGGCGCCTTCGGGGAGCTGTTTAAGGGCGTTGACACCTGCACCAACTCCCACGTGGCGATAAAGTTGGAGAGGCGCAAGACCACCTACCCACAGCTGTCGTACGAGAGTAAGGTTTACAGGGTGCTGCACCATGGAACCAGCGACCCTGTGGGGATTCCACGCGCATACTACTACAATGTAGAGGGTGACTACGGCGTTCTCGTGATGGAGCTTTGCGGCCCATCGCTGGATGACCTCTTCAACTACTGCGGCCGACGTTTCTCTGTTAAGACGGTCTGTATGCTAGCAGATCAGATGCTGCAGCGGATTCAGTTTCTGCATGAAAAGGGCTTTGTACACCAGGACATGAAACCTGAGAATTTTGTGTTTGGCAATGGAAAGAAGGGGCATGTGCTGCACCTCATTGACTTTGGCCTCAGCAAGGTGTATTGGAACAGGCGGACGCAAGCACACATTCCCTTCTGCGAGGGGAAGCCGCTGACAGGCACCGCGCGCTACTGTAGCACCTGGACGCATCGCGGCTTCGAGCAGAGCCGCCGCGACGACCTTGAGGCGATCGGCTTTATTCTTGTTTATTTCCTCGTGGGGTCGCTCCCCTGGCAAGGGCTCCAGACGAGGGACCCGCGTCTGAAAATCCTTCGCATCGGGGAAAAGAAGATAGACACTCCGCTGGAGAAACTATGCCACGGCCTGCCGCCGGAGCTTCTGCGCTACTGCACCTACTGCCGCGGGTTGATGTTCACTGACGCCCCGGACTACGCGCATCTGCGGGACCTCTTCGCGACGCTGGCGCGGCAGCAGTGTGATGTGGCGCCGCAGCCGGAGCCCGAAGAAGGTGTTGGCTGGTGGGATAGCGTCGTCACCATCACGGACGCGCAGCCACCGCAGTACGACTGGATGTTTGACTGGTTTGTAAAGCGTAAGGCGGAGGTGGCGGAGTGGCGCAAGCGGCAGCACGCGCGGCACCCCAATGGCACGCCCTCTCCCAGCGTTAACATTAGAGGGCGGGAGGCGAGCTCCGCAGTAAGCACAAGCGGCGCCCACGTGATGTTTGTTTCATCCCCCCAGGCCTAACGCCATGTACCAGGTGAGGCAGTGGTGTGTGTGTTTTGTTGTTGTTGTTTTTTTAAGGGCAAAACGCGTAAAGTTTAAGGATCGAGTGCGATGTGGGGTTCCAGGTGTTTTTATGGTGTTTTTTTTTTCATGCTAAAGTTATCTATCTATCTCTATCTCTCTCCTTGTGTGTGTGTGTGTTTGGTCTGTGCATACTCACAGAATGAGTGAAGTTTATTTGTGTTGAGGCACGCGGTCTCTTGTCAGAAATGTTAATAGTAGCAGTGGCTGTGATAACATGCGTATGTATATATATATATATATCTTTGTGTGTGTCTCCCCCCTGGGAGGTGTACGTTCTATTTTTTGCCTTGGTTTGCCCTTACCGCCCTCACCACGCACGCACGCATATTCCTTCTCTCTTCCCCACTACACACACTCCAATCTATGTACATCTAATAAAGTTAACGCAGTAAAAAAGGAAGGCCGCTTAAGGGGCGGGGGGTGGACAGCGATACGTGTGCACCGCGTGGTGCAAGGCAATGGAGTTCAAGCAGTGGGCAGAGAATCGTTACCGGCACCCGGTGGTGCTGGTGTTTGCGAGTCTCACTGCCGACCAGGCCTGTCGTCGCAACGGTATGGACTTGATCCAGATGCTTCGGCCCTTCTCTGTGCACCCGACGGAGCTCTTTGCACACCTGGGGGATCGTGCTGACACCGTGCTGGTGCGCAACTTTGGGGTGCGACTGACTCGACTGCAGTGCGTGCGTGAGGTAGACGCGGTGCACTCTGCGCGCCACTTCCGCCACATGTTGCGCGACCACGCGGCGATGGAGTTGGCATACGGGGAGCAGCTTGACCGTGTCATGTCGTGCCTGCTGAACGAGAATGGCGGCGTTGTAGAGGGGCCGCGGCTCACTGCACAGGTGGCGTCGCGGCTTCTAGAGCGCTCGCACCCGGCGTGGCACTCCCAGTTCATCCGCGACCACGCGTTCCTGGTGCGCTGCAGCCATTTTGACACTCTCGACCACCCGCTGGGGTGCATTTACGCTGCCTCCACGCGTGAGGTGGACGGCATCGAGGGGATTATGCGAGAGTTTAGGGAACAGCAAAAGCAACCGGCCGAAGCCCGGTGTGGCATGCCCTGCATGGACGATGAGCTGCACAGTTACTTCCTGCTTCTGCATGATGTGACGGAGGGCCCGCCGCTAGAGGAGGCGCGACGCATGTTCGCTGCGGTGCAGATGCAGTACGGCCACAACCACTGCGCCCTAGTAAAGATCAACTCCGTGGCGAACCCGCAGGACGTGAAGAACATGGATCCCTCGCTATGGATCGAAGCGAACATGCTCGCCCTGGACGTTCCCTCCCGACAGGCGGTCCATGCGGCGCAGCTGCGGCAGCAGCAGCAACAACAACAACAACAACAACAACAACGACAAATCGCTGCCACGCCTGTTTTTGGAGAAGGCTCGGTGGGGGGCAGCAGTGTTGGCGCTGAACGCAACGCCCTCAGCAGCTCTGCAAACGTCACGACGAGCGTCTTGAGTTTTTCCGAAGGCAACAGCAACTCTACGAGCGGAAATGATAGCACCACCCCTGTCTCCCTGCAGTTCCCGCGTGTGACCACCAGGTTTGGCGACTGGTCAAACGGCATGGCTAAGATTACAGGCTGCTACTTGAGTCCTGAGAATGTGGAGGAGTTGCGGCATGTCATGAAGTATTACCTCTCACGAAGCCTCTTTAACTTTATCGAGCGGAAGCTGCGGGTGTTGGTGCTGGCAATCAACGAAAAACGTGTGACCACGTTTGGTAAGGTGGCTGCCTGGTTTCGTAACAAGGAGGAGACCAAGATGAAGCATGAAACCTGGGTTGCTGGCCGCGACGGCGGTCCCACGATGTATCTTGCCGGGTCGCTGGAGATGCAGATGCGCCGTGCCGCCGATCTTCTGTTGGCACTTGCAGACTACGATGCTGCAATTGGTTACTACCGCATGTGCCGCAATGAGGCGCTCTCAACCGTGTCGTCGCGGAAATTTAACAGACCACTGATTGCGGCCTGTCAAGAGGGCATTGGTGTGTGCGAGTTGCTGCAGGGACGACTGCCGCTCCCGAGCCTGGTGCCCTGGGCGACCGGTGGTACTGCGTCCAAGGGCAGCGGTGAGTGTCGATTAGAGGTCGCGCAAAACGACTACGTGGGATGCCAGGTGGACACCTACGCCCTGCGGCTGTCGCTCCTACTCTACGAGTACTGTCGCACACGGTCTCCACCGGCGGTGGATCGTGCCTCGGCCGCGCTGCTGCACGTGCAACGTGTTGGGATCGGGTCCAAAAACAAGTTGTACTCCGCCCTGTTGCATGAGCTGCTGGCCTTGATGTCACTGTTCCGCAACCCGCCACAACCTGCGGGGATGTCGGTCCCTGCTTTTCTACCAGACAATTTTCCGCTGCGTTCACACGTTCGCCAGTACGCGCGTCACATGATCATTGCGGGCAGTGCACACCTAGATAACAACCTTTTTGAGAGTTCACTGCGTTGCTACTTGCGTGCCTTGCGTGTGTGTGGCGGGGCTGGCCGTCGCGGTAATTGGCAACTCATATTTGAGCACCTGCACACGCTTTTGGCTCACATGTACCGCAAACTTGGAAATCAAATACGTGGCATGGCCATCGCGTCCATTGCGGTGTCAATGGGGACGCCTATGTATAGCAATCCACAGACCGGGCCTCGCAACTTCGACGCGTTTTGGAGCCAGCAGAGGCAGGTCATGGGCAGCCTCGGCTACACGCTTTGCCCGCACATGGTTGCCCCCTGCATTCAGTTAGAGTCCATTCGCGTCAGTACGAACGCGCTTCACGCCGCAGCGGCGACGGCGCCAGAGTCGGAGTCTCAGGCGGTCAGTGACGAGCTGGCGGAGGTGGAGTGGCAGAAGCTGGAGGAAAAGCTGCGACGGCACTACACGGGATGCACCGCCGCCCCGTTGCGTGATCGTTTTAGGGTGCGAGATGAGTTTGGAGGCACGCGGCGGCCCGAGGCCGAGGCATGTATGCGGCGTTACTCCATGCATCTCACGGAGCCGTTGGAAATCACTGTCACGCTGCAGAATCCCATTGGTGGTCCCCTAACAGCCGAGAAGCTTTGTCTCTTGTACGTCGCAAAGCAAAGGCCCGATCAGCTGTGGAAGAGTGCCGCTTCGAAGACTGTGGAGATGCCTGCAGCGGCGTCAAAGTCCGTCACCTTGTCCTTCTCACCAAGCGAGGAGGGCACCTACGTCATCATTGGGCTTTGTTGGACTCTTATGGGGTTGGAGGGTTATTACTACTTCGCCACGCAGACGCACAAGGCGGACGAGGACGGCAACGCCTACGGTGGGCCCTTTGAGTACGCCATCGAGCACCCCGTGCCGGATGTTGCGTCCGCGGCAAATATGGAAGTTGAGGTTGCGCCACCGCAGGCGTGGATCACGGCACGACTTAACCCTGAAGTTCCACCCGTTATGCGGGATGGGGAGTATTACCAGACAACGCTGGTCCTGACAAACAAGAGCGCCCACCGCACGGCACACAGCATCACCCTGCAACGTAGTCCGAGGAATGCGCACGTGGTCTGGCTGGATGGCTTCAGCTTGGAACGTAACATTGATGCGGAGGCGACGTTTGTGCTGGAGGGGGAGCTTGCCCCCAATACAAGCCTCACACTGCCAATGACGGTGCAGGCCCATCATAGCCGAGACTCCTCCGCACGGTGCAAGAACAACATTTTTTTCCTTGTGGGGTACACCTCAGGAACGCCAAAGAAGGAGGGTGTGGGGTCCCCTGGTGCCTCTACCAATTCCTCGTTCGTGTCTTTGCGCTTTCATCGGTTTCTCCGCCGTTTTGTGGTGAAATCGGCCTTGCTGCTCTCCTCCAGGGTTTTGCCCCCTGCGAACTTGACCATGGCAACGGTGGCGCTCATCACGGCCAGTAACGTCTCCGAGGCACGAGATCCACCGCTGCGGGTGTCACGTGTGCTGGTCGTGCATCGACCGCTATGGCGCGTTGCCCCCACATCGCTTGGGAGCCTTTTGGCGGACAACGCGCTAGACTGTATTTTGTCCCCCGGCGCGGCTCTGTGCGTCCCACTCAGCGTGGTGAGTAAAGCACCCTCTGCCACGGCAACCCCCACGGGCGGTGCGATGGCGATGGCGGAGGAGGTGTGTATTGCGCTGTCGTCAGCCCTTCCAGGACCCGCACGGCGCACTGCGGTGGAGGCCAACGTCGGGATCAGCGTCGTGAACTCAGCGATGAATGCGTACTTCATGCGCTGCAGCTTTCGTGGGCCCGGGGTCATTGGTGAGGTGAAGGTCCCCGAGGGTCTCCCATTCTACCTTGACAAGGCAGGAGCTTCCGCGATGCTGGCAGCAGCGGGCGGGGGGAGGCCCCGCAGGAACAACAACATCACCCCCATTCGCCGCCACCGCCGCCGCCGCCGCCGCCGCCGCAACAACAACAACAACAACAATGGCATTCACTAGTCTCTGTTGTGGAGCCATTCACACCCATTTGTGTGGCGGTAGTTTGGGCGGTTGAGGAGCAGGGACGGATGCATAGCGGGCAGGTTTTTCACTTTGTCGATCCCGTTCATTGCCTTTCCTCATGTGAGTCCTCCGTGGGCGAGGCGCGTGATCGGATGCAAGAGCACCTCTGTGAGTCGATGATTGAGAACCGCACCCTTCATGCCCGCCATGGTGCGCTATTCTATCATGTAGAGGTGCCGTACACCGTGGAGTCCACGGTGGACAGCCCAGATGCTGTGAAGATTCCTGTTACGGTGCACTGTCGCTCGCTCGCGGCGCACCCGCTGCTGGTAACAGTAGAAACCACAACACCTGGATGCCCTAATGCTGCTCCCTCCTCCATGTCTTCTTCCGTGCCAGTCGTCTTCGTGGGGAAGAGTAGTGCTGGGTTTTTACTTTTACCGCACGAAAATTACTCGCTAAGCTTCACAGCCTGTGCCTTTGCCCCCGGGGTGGCGGAATGCAATCTCTTTAAGGTGAGTGCGGTAGCATTGCAGCTCCCACCGCTAGGGAACCGCGGTGTATGGCAGACGGGCACGTCGCGCGGTGCCTTGATGACATGGATAGGAGAAACCACGTCATGCCTTGGGGCGGAACCGGGCATTACAGCAAGAGTAGGAGGAGAAAGTAGTGGTAGTGGTGGTGGTGGAAGCAACTGTAGTGGCAGCGGCAGGAAGCAGTTAGGATGTGTCAGCGCTTTGGTGTACGACAGCATTCGAATAGTCGTGCTTGGTCACGGAATGGCCGCCATGACACGCGTTCTTTTTGTATCCTTGTCACAGGCAACTATGCGGGCAGCAGCTGAGGCGGTGGCTGCGAGGATGCAGCCGTACCACGAGGAGGCCAAGCGGTACGAGAGGCAATGCAAGGTATTTGAGCAGCGACGGGCCCTCCTTGGCACCCCCTCAGCTAAGCGGCTGCAGAAAAAAGACGCGCTCTTGGCCTTGTACCCTCCACGGGCACACAAGCTGGTGGAAACGGTGCGGGAGACGCCTTTTTCCACGAGTGCTGTGGCGTCAAGCGCACCCACGTGGAAGTCAGACACGTCGCTTTTGCTGCCGCATCGTGGAATCACCGGCAATAACGACTTCACTGGTGCTGCCGTGTTGGAAGCCGTCGCAGTATCCCCATCTAGCTCAGACTGGGCAGTAGAGGTCGACACGCACTTGGAGCTGCAGGGACTACGGGACATAACTATGTCACGGGGAGAATCGTCGAGGTCGGAAACAGGCACAAGCTCCTCAAGCACAACTAGCAGAGATGAGTCCGTGTAAACCGTTGCGACGCAAAAAAAAAAACATAAAAATCCACGCATCTTATCGTAGAAGCGGTGCCACACAATGCGGCTACTGTGGAAGAGAAGAAGTAAGAGGCGAAATGTGGAATTGGTGACGCTGGTACCGGGGATTGTGATGCAGGGGATTGGGGGCTTGCCCGCTGGACAAACATGAAAGCCACGGCGCGGTGGTGGAGCTAATTTGAGGAGGGGATTGGGGTCAGGGAATGTCGGCAGGAGACATCCCCCATCATGCGGTTTGTTGTTGTGTGTGTTGTTGTTGTTGTTGTTGTTTTTTTGACTTGTGCCACTGTTGACGATGGTAGCGGCGTTTTCTGCTTGCTACTTCCCTTGAGCCATTGTACGCGTTTCTGCTTTCTTTTCCTCACGCCTCACATGTCTTTTGTTTCGTTTGTTCTTTCTTCATTTTGTTGCTGTTTGTCACGTTGCAGCCAGCACTCGCTTGGAGTTATCATGTGGCCGCGTGGGTCAGTGTATGGGCGTGTGTGTTCGGCTGCGCCTTGATGCTTCGGAGCGTGTTCCTCACGCTTCGCTTTTTAACACGCGTGATCTTCAGGGTGGGAAGAAAAGGGAGGCGGTGCGCTTTATACCAGCGCGTGCGACGTGGGATAGTGCGGTTCTACTTCGTCCATGTGTTCTGCGTTACGCCTTCCTCCTCTTCTGCTGTTGCTGCTTCTGTTGGTTGGTTTCTCCCGCCGCATTGGGTTTGTTTTTTTTTTTCGTTGATACCCGCTGTGTGTTGCTTTGGCCTTGTCGTGGCTATTAGTTTGGCCGTGGGGCGTCAACAACGGACTGTGTGCGTGCAGCTGTGCACTATGCCGTCGTCGGTGTCGTGCGGGAAGGGCGAAAGGAAGAAGCGCACACGCACGCCCACGCCCATGCGGGAGACCCCGGCGCGCGGCGGGAAGGCGGGAAGGCAAGCGGAGGATGAGGCGTGCTCCACCCGCTCCTCCACCTCTTCGATCTCGTCGGGGTATTCGGCCTCCTCCTCCTCGCGAAGCGCGGAGGAGCGCAAGCACTACCCCATCTTCACAGCAGAGTACGCCAGGCGGTACGGGGGCGGCAACTTTCCCTTTCTCTACCTAGACTGCGGCGAGCATTCGCCGCAGGTATCATCCCCGATGCTTCGCCCGAAGCATTTGCAGTCGGCGTCGTGGATGCGGGACCGGCCGCGCTGGATTTTGTACAATGAATACGTGTTTCTGCGGGAGTTGGGCAAAGGCACCTACGCCAAGGTGGTCCTGTGCCACTCCCTCCGCACCGGCGAGCTCTGCGCGTTGAAGATATTTCGCAACGAGCAAGCCTACAAGAGGGCCTACTGGGACGAGGTGGGGGCGCTCGAGGCGCTTTGTCGCCCGCACCCGGAGGACGTTCAGCAGCTGCTGCAGCAGTATGGTGTCGGCCTGGGCGGGGCGAGTCACGGTGGAGGTGGCGTTTGCAGTGGCGAGAGTGGTGTAATGTCGGCTGCGACGGCCCGCTGCGACGCATTCGGAGTGGGGGCGGCGTGCCAGGGGCGAACGGGTCGGTTTATTGTCCCCATTGCACACTTGCCGCATCCCATTCACCATGCAATTGTTCTGCCCCCGCTTGGACCCTCCCTGCTAGACCTGCTCCGCCACATTCGCGATGTGTCCGTTCGCACGGAAGACGAGGTGGCCCATGGACCCCAGCGGAGTCGGGCAGCGAATGGCACTGACGCGGGGGACGCCCTGCCTCAGCTCGGTGTCATCGAAGTCCACTACAGGGGATTGCCGCTCCCGCTTGTTCGCGCGGTTTTGTACCAGATCCTCCTCTTCCTGCGCCACGCACATCGTCGTGGTATCGTGCACACAGACCTCAAGCCCGAAAACGTGCTCTTTGAGTCCAGCGAGACTCTCATGACGCGGCTGCAACTTAAGCGGCATTGCTACTGCAAAACCACCTCCCAGTCGCCTGTTTCTTCTGACCAAACTCAACATGTCGGGGTTGCTGGCGTCGCCGCCTCTACCTTATCCCCCTTTAACTCCGTGGCGAGGGCACTGAGCGTGAGTGAGACAGTGGTGGATGTCCAGCTGCCTGTGATGAATGCAGTGCGAGTCATCGACGTTGGGGCCGCCGAATTTCTTTCAAAGTGCCGCCATTTCAGCGTGTTAGATGGTGTTACGCCTGTTTTCTACCACCGCATCCACACAACGCATTACCGGAGTGTGGAGGTGCTACTTGGGCTCGGGTGGACAAGTTCCGCGGATATGTGGTCGCTTGGCTGCATGATTCCCGAGTTGCTCACGGGGGACTGTGTGTTTATGCCGCGCAACGACATGGAGCACCTCGCCCTCATACAGCACATTGTGGGGGCTTTCGATGTGACGGAGGGCGGCTCACAAACAGCAGCAACGATCGTTGGACGTGTGTTCGCCAAGGGACGCTATTTTGGGGATTACTTTGACATGCACACGATGCAGCTGGCGTGGCCACACGCCTCCGCAGCGGTGTCCTCGTCCTCGTCATCGTATCGCCGTCGGCGCACTGCGTCGCTGGAGAATATCCGCTACGTGGCGTCACGGCCCACGCTGCAGGAGGTACTTGGGCCTACCCCGCTGTTGTACGATCTCTGCCGACGACTGCTGGACTACGACCCGATGCGTCGCATCACCGCGGCGGAGGCGCTACGTCACCCATTCTTTACGTCGGCCGCATAGCTGCAACGCCCGTGTGCAGCTGCGTGCTTTTTGTTTTTTTCCGTGGCGTGTGGAGGGGGTGAGAGGGGCAAGGACGTCAGGGAAAACGGCGGTGAGGGGGGGGGGGACACTGCTCCAGCACGGGTGACGGAGGTGGCGGGGTGACAACGTCGTACCCACTGAGGGGCGGACGGACGGACGCGCCAGATACCCGGTGAGGGCAGGAGATACAAATACACAGGAAGGAAACGAGAAAAGAAAAGGGAAGGTGTTAACCGACAAGTACACACGCAGGGAGACGGAAAGAATGAGAGAAATAGGGCACGTGAAGCTGAAGTGTGGCAGTCATGTGATGCACAGTGCTTTCATATTATGTTTTGTTTTCTGAATCTATTTATTCATCCACTGCTCCCACGCACGCACACAGAGGAAAACCCTAGAGTAGATCGCAGCAGGACATACACACACACACAGAGAGACACAGACACAGACACTTACCATAATGCAGGCACCGCAGGCGAATCCACAGCTCGCTGGGTTGCCGCAGCGAGATGCTCTAGTGCTGTCGGAAAAGCTGCAGTTAATCACATACGACGGTTTCATGCACTGCGCCCGGCGGTGCATCACTCACTACGGCGAGGACTCTATTCCGTATCACCCAGGCGAGAAGGCGTGTCTGGATCGCTGCATCAGCAAGGTGTACAATGGGCTTGAGCTTTCCCGCCAGCTCAAGAAGGAGTTTGAGGAAAAGGTGAAGAAGGGAGAAATGCCGTATAAGTGGATGAGAGACATGACGTCCGCAGTGACATAACGTGGTGAGGTAACGATGTGACTGTGGCTAATATTATGAGTCAGGGCAGCGGCGCTGATGGGGCGTCTGGCGTGTGTGCCGATCTCTTTTTCCCCCGCTCAGTTTTTGGCGGCGGTAGTGGCAAGAGCAAAATAAGGGGCCGGCACGCGTGTCCGCTTGGAGGTGGAGGAATACAGGACTGTGTGTGCGTCACTGGGGGAATCCACAGAACAGTAAACGTAGTGCGCGAGAAGGAGAGAGAGGTGGTGCGGTGAGGTGATTAGCGGGATGGCACAAAAACAAAAACGAAGAATCACTGAAGGAACGAGAGGCATACGGCTAATAAAGAAGAGAAGAAGTTGAGGAAGAGGAGGAAAGAGAGAGAGAGAGAGAGAGTTCACACACACACACACACACATGCAGGTATTTCTTCTTTGGGTGTGTCCTCACTTGGAGTTCTCCTCACTTCATCTCTGTTTTTTTTTCTCCTAACACGTGTCTGCGCGTGTCGCCACACCTACACCCGTGCATGTGTGTGGGCTGAGGAAAGGAGAAAGAGAAGTGGAATAATCACGCGCGAACAACACAAAAAGGGCAGCAAGAAGATTGAGTAAGAGAAGAATAAAAAGAAGAAAACAAGAATGTCTTTTCGCGGCTATGGTGGGAGCTACCGTGGCGGAAGAGGCGGAAGGGGTGGAAGGGGTGGTGGATCCCACTGGCAGAGACCAGCATACGAGGGGGAGGCGTTTGGCCAACCGGCCGATTCCTCGTCTGCCTCACCGTACGCTGAGCTGAGTAATTACTTTAAATCAGTGGAAGGCATGAATTACGGGGAGCTGAAGTCCTTGACGAATGCCTCCTTTGCCCTTTCAGAGACAGTGCAGTGCACGTTTTTGGCGATTCAGTCCGACCCCTTTGCCCCTGGAAGCCAGGTGCGTGTGTCCTGCCCTTGCCCCTTTCGGCTGGAGAAGGTGCTGCAGAGCTCGGACTTGGAGTCCTGCGCGCCGTGTCGCCGTGTCGCGGCGGAGGACTACATACTCCGTTGCTTTCACGAGGGCCACCGTCGCGGGGTTGCGAAGTACCGCAGCGGGGCGCTGCAAGTGATGCGGCCCTCTCAACATGTGCTGGAGCGGAGCACGGTGGCGCTTGTGCGCGGGGACCGAGGGAGCAAGGAGGTGGGGGTGCATTTGTTTGCGCGGGTAAAGCTGCCTGGTCACGGTCGACGCATTGACGGTCGTGGGGCTATTAGCATTATTTACGAAGAGATCCTTCCGATCATGGAGCGCTGCGTGGTGGGCCTTGACGAGGAGCTCCTCTACCAGCACGTTACCTGTGTGCATGACCAGGAGCACCTTCGTGGTGAGTTGCGTGCTGCCGGATGTGTGGCGTTTGTCGCTAACGGCTCCGTGCTACCTCGTGAGTCGGGTGAGTCGGACCGGCCACTTGCCAAGGGCGCGGTGCCGTTTGTCTCGCCGGCGTCGCTGGAGCGCAGCTTTCAGCTGCCGTACAGCGGGACCACCGTAACAGGCATGGGTCTCCTGCATGGACTAACGCTTGTCGCCGGTGGCGGGTTTCACGGTAAGTCAACGCTTCTGCGGGCCCTGGAGGTGGGGGTGTACAATCACGTGCCGGACGACGGTAGAGTTTACGTCGTTGTAGACCCAACGGCAGTGAAGATTCGCGCCGAGGATCGACGCTCCATCAACGGCGTCGACATCTCGCCATTTATTAACAATCTTCCCTTCCAGAAGACTACGACGTCGTTTGTGACCTCCGACGCTAGCGGCAGCACCAGTCAGGCCGCCAACATCATGGAGGCGCTGGAGTTGGGGTCTCGGCTACTGTTGCTGGACGAGGATACCTGCGCTACCAACCTGATGTACCGCGACGACTTGATGCAGCAGCTTGTGCCACGTGAGCAGGAGCCCATCACCCCCTTTGTGGAGCGTATCACGGACCTTATCCAGAACCATGGGATGTCCGCCGTCATGGTGATTGGGGGCTCGGGGCAGTACTTTCCGCACGCCACCGTAACGTTAGTCATGAATGCCTACAACGCACACGATTGCACCGCGCGTGCGCAGGAAATTGCATCCAGTTGCATGGCGCCTGTGCCACCGCTTGAGAAGGGTAGCTCCGCCTTTGTGTCGCCCATGCAGCGCCGCTTTGATGGGGACGGAACATTCTGCACCGTGCAATGCCGCAAAGGTCGTGACAGCATAAAAGTTAGCGGCGTCGGTGTCGACAGCATCCGCTTCGCCGAGGAAAACATTGACCTATCCTTGGTTGAACAAATTGTGGAGGAGGGGCAAGTAAACGCCATCGCCCAGTGCCTCGCCATGCTGTACGACGGTGAGGCAGGCGGCGCCGAGGCCATGCTTGCGAAGGGGAAATCGTTACAAATGCTTTACTCCCCCGGCGGCGGCGGCGAACCACGCAGCGTGCCATTTTATTCGGACTTCTCTGCGTTAATTGAGGGTTGCGATGCCACACTGCGCGAGGCGCGGCTGGAGGTGCGAACACCATCGTGTTACTTGCCACGCGGCTTTACCTCCGCGGCGCGGCGGTTTGAAATTGGAGCGGCACTCAACCGACTCCGCACGCTGCGGACCCTCACGACAAGCATGAAGTAAGACGAGGTTGGAAGGCAGGCACATGGGGAGAGAAACGAAGAAAGAAACAAAAAGGAAAAAATAAGAGCGGAGAGAGTAAAAAGGGGGAGGGTTGCGAGGCAAGCTGCCATGCATTTCAATTGCGGGATTTGTGGTGGGGCCGTGATGAAAGTCGTCATTCCGTGAAGGAAAGAGTGCGGCACACCACACCCTGGTGTGTCCTCGCCTAATTTGATACTGGCGATGGACCTCGCGTCATTGCTACCATCACATCGCCTGCTTGAGTTGCCTCTAATAAAATATGCTGCTTGTTGTTGACTTCCTTTTCTTTCTTGTTTCCTTTGCAATTTCATCATTGTTTCTTGTTGTCTTGCCGTTGGCTGGGGTGGGGGGGAGAGAGAGAGAGAGAGAGAAAGTGGCGTTTAGAAGTAACGAGTCTTTATATAGTTATTTTTTATTTATTTCTGTGTGTGTGGTGTTGTCTGTGAAATACCAAGGAACTGTAAGGAGGGTGAATGAAGGGAGGCGTGCTGTGGCGGTTGGCATATGCTATGCGTAGCCGCAAAAGGCTTTCCATCGTGCACTGTTGCATGACTCGCTATTGTCTGGCCTCCGTTCTGATAGTGTGGCTATTCGTGGCCTTTTGCCTTGTTTTTATACCCCGCTTCAGCTGGTCTAACAAACGGTTGCGGGCGTTCCCTGTCGTCGTCACGAAGCACCTAGATCGCGTTACGGACCCCGTCAACGAGCTTGTCGCCGCCTCACTGAAGCAGCTGCACCACGGCACCTACCTTGTGACCAGCCTGTTGAATGACGGGTCTGGGGAGGCCATCAAGTTTGTGTTCAAGACGGAGTGTCGACCTGCGTCACGGTGGCATGGCCAGCAGGGATGGAGCGAAGTCGCTGTGCATCACTTTCAACGGCTTTTCTACGGGAACGATGATGTGCCTTATCCGAGAGCTGAACTCGCCAGGGGTGTGGTGGTTGCCATCACCGAGCGGCAGCTGCGCCGGGTCGTGCACAAGGACCAGTGTGGGGTGCTCAGGGATAACACCACGACGCAGGTGCTGGAAAACTTAATGAAGGGTAAAAAGCTTCTGCGTGGGGCTCAACGGGGTGTCGTGGGAAGTTATCCAGCGGCGACCATCTTGATGATTGGGGTTGCCTTGACGTGGCGGGAGGGGTACGGAGATGACAATTACCCCTCCTCGGAGCTCTACGCCCCCTACTTTACCGTCCCTCCATATAATCCTGATATAAAGCAGGAATTTGTTCATCGCTTTGTCGTGTATGAGATGTCCGATGTCATGGTATTTGACTACCTCTTGTTAAATCCAGACCGCGCCTTCAATAAGAATTGGTTCCGGGATACGGCGACGCAGCTGCATTCGGCGCTACTGGATAATGGTTGGGCCTTTGCGGGGGAGCGGTTTGGGTCCTCCGTATGCGAAGTGGAAAGCGGACTTCTGCGCTGCCCCTCCCCCTTGCTCACATGGAGCAGCGAAACGCCAAGCGTATGGCGGTGTCTTTCCCGGGACGCGGCGAAGGCGGCCGCTGAAGACGAGGCTCCGCCAGACACTCGCCAGCCTGGCCTGCTGAAATGGTGCCGCTTTCGACCTGAGACGTTCCGTGCACTCAACCGAACAAGGTTGCAGTGGCGCAATGGCCAGAATGAGAAAGGGTCTCTCTCGCAACAGTGGGTGGAAACGATAAGGTCAGACATCCTTCTGGCATTCTTGTTGGAGGCCTATGGTTTGCAGACATCAATAAAAGGTTTTAATCAAGCTCTTTCACGTTACGTGCGTGGGTGTCCTTCGTCTTCAGTTCACGCAACCACCGGGGAGGATGTAGCCTCGTTGAAAATCCTGCACGCACTGGAGGTTGGACTGCTGCATCGCATGGACAGGTTGGCTGCCCACGTGAGCAAGTGCCTGCAAAAGCATGGTGAAGCCTACGTCTACGCATACGATCTCGAGGAGTGAGGAGCTCCTTTTTTTTTTCTGTTACATCTTTTTTTTTATTTTTGTTTTTGTTTTTTTTGCACCTTGGCTGTTGCTCATCCTGCGCGTGTTTCGGAATTGGTTAGAAAATGTTAGACGATGCCCACATACACGCTCTCTCTCCCTTTCCTTCAGGTGAGGAGAGATGAGCATGGAGGAGGAGGAGGAGGGGGGGGTATTTACACACACACACGCACCCCAGTCCTCAAGTTTACTTGGCAAAAGATAGCAGGCAGAGCCACGGTCAAGGTTTGGGTAAAAAAGGGTTTTGTTCGTGACCACGCGGGGTCAACCTGTGTGTATGTGTGCGTGTGTGTATTGTTAGAGGAGCAGCGAGAGGAACAGCTTGACAGTCGCTCCTGCGATGATAATTCAAAAAAAAAAACTACCCAGTACCCGTTGTCTCTGCTTTGTTTGTCTGCTCTTCCACGTTCTCACCATAGGAACTAACAACGTGGCAGGGTAACTGTTGGCGTTACAACACGCGCCGCCCCGCACTCAATGCGGGATAACGCCGCCTCCTACAACGCAACCACTTACTCGCTAGTTAATCGATATATACGTATATATATGCACTATTGCGGAGTAGTTGTTCCAGGCGTTGTCATGTCCTTGATCTTTCTATCATCTCTTTCTTGTTCGTTGTGGGGGATGTCGCACGCACATCGACGCATCTCTGGTCTCAAGAAGAATTCGGAAAGGGCTTAAATTCGGCTTTGCCTTCTCTTAGTATCTTTTTGTTGGGCGAAGGTGAGGCAATAGGCTTTTTGTACGTGTGTGCGTGAGTGTGGTTTTTTTTTTGCCTCTGGTAGGAGCGAGGCGGCGCTTGGAAGGAAGGGGGAGTGGACGCCTAGTTGGGTGCCGGCGCACAAGTATGGCTCGTACGGCGTTGGAAGAATGGGATGCGTTTGGCGTCTTTGAAGGCCCACCACCGTCCCCCGCCACACATCTCACTATCCGGCAGTATGTGAGTCTGGTGCAGTGGGTTGGGCAGCGGCTGAAGTTAGATAACGTCTCATTTCGTTTTAACCTTCTGTTGCCCGGGGATGGGAATGAGGATGCTGTTGCGCTCCGTGCCTGTGGTCACCCACCCGTGTGTGTTCACTTGGCTCGCGAGGAGGGGCTTCATGCGATGCAGCATCCGGATTCACTCCCTACCATTGCATGCGACAAAGCAAACACTGCGGCGCACGCGCTCCCGCACGTGCATTGTTTGTTCTGCTTGCGCGAAAGCCAGGGAGGGCAGCACCTGGCAGCTCTACCGGATCTTCATCAGGGTTTGCTTGGCCACTACATGGACCATATGCAAACACGAAATGAATGCCTGGCCCTCCTGGAAGGTGAGGCGGCAGTCTGCATGAGTGAGGCAGGCTGGGAACCAGACCTCTCGCGTGCGGCGCAGCAGGAGAAGCTGGAACACACCGCAGACTCCGCAGGACGACATGGGTGTTTCATTGCCTCTGTCGGCACGGCGACTTGTCCAGTTGTTGTGGTGTACTGTGCGGTGTGTGACCAGCTGGCCCCGCTTGCAACCTTCGTCACAGCAACGAAGGATGCCGCAAACAACGTCGACAGCAGCGATGACAACAAAACAGGCTCACAACAACACTTTGAGGCAGCGAGGAGTGTGGAGGAGGCTGAAACAATCTTGGCGCGTCTTTTACTCGCGTGTCAACTGCTCTGTGCGATGCGGTGCGAACCCGCCCAGGCGGGACGGGTCTCTGCGCCTCAGGTGCAGCCGGAAACGCACATTTTTCTGGCTACCCCTCTTCTTTTTGGTGTCGAGAAGGAGGCGCTAACGGAGGAGTTTGAAAGCGGCGCGGTGATTACGCATAGTTCCGTTATTTTACCCATGGCCACCTTGGGTGGCCCGCCAGAGGCGCCGCAGCTTTGCCTGATGGACCAGGAAGCAATGCTGCGTTCACTGAAGGACCAATTGCCGCCCTACTGCTTCACAGACGCCGTTGTGGGCTTTATGATGGCGTGGCCCACGGAGGCAGACACGGACGCGAAAGTTGCGTGGGTGCTACGGCAAGATGGCGGCCTGCGTGTGCAGCGGCGGCTGGCGTACGTGGAGGACACGGATGAGTGGGTCATCGCACGTGTGTTTTACCACCCTGACACAGCCCTGTTGGGGTGCCGCAGCCAAGATAAGGCGGCCGATACATCTGACGGTGGCATTCGCGTGCGAAACGACTGCTGTGTTTTCAGGATGCTGCCGCTAACACTTCTGCAGCAATACACATTTGAACCTCTCTGCACGCGAGCAGGCGTGGCTAGCTACACGACTGATGCGGGTGACACTAATAGTCCTCCTCAGACAAAACACAAGCTCGATGAGGTGGCGGATGCAGAGCTACTGGGCTGTCCATACAGTGCGGAGGCCAGAACAATCCAGTTTTTTGCAGGCATGATGGCGCTGGCCAAGGCGATGAAGACGATAGCTGACCATGTGAAGGAGAACCAGCCATATGAATAAGCAAAAACAAACGGGATATGTTGCATGAAACTAATTTCTTTACGGGTTATCTGGGATGCATACACATCTGCCTTTCTTCGTCCTCCACGCCGAAGGTGTCTGTCTGAGTAAGAAGGAAGAGCCGCCGGACTACGCCTCTTTTTTTATGTCGTTGTTGTTGCAACTCTGACGCTTTGACCCTTTCTCTGTCGTATTGCGTGTCTTCTTCACCCCGTCTGCCTGCTTTTTGTTGGCGCATAAGGAGTGAGTAGGAGCAGGAAGAAGAGCCAAAAAAGGGGTGGCAGGATCCGTCTGCAGATGCGAAAAAAAACTGAAATCATTAGTCACACTGGAGGACAATGCAAGCGTCTTTGCAGGCGGTGATCTCGCGGATATGCCAGAAAGGTATTCCCCGATGGTGTGCGGGGAGCTCGCCATTGTTCCTCTGCACTCAGAGCTGCAGGTGGCACAGCGAAGCCCGTCACCGTACGAGGCTTTGGCGCATTCTGGGGTCTGCCCAACCTGCCACCGCCCGCTGAACGCGGGTCCTACGGACAGCTTGTCACTGTCTCCTGCTGAGCGTCGTTTTTCCCCGCAGTACTTTAGGGCGCTGGTTCAGGGAAACGCGCGGCATCTTTCTATATGCGATAGTCCCTCCCTGGGTCAGCAACAGCAGCAGCGGCAGGAAACGAAACCCTCCGGTGCCTCGCGGCAGGGCTGGATGTCCTCCAATCTACGGAGCAAGCGAGTGGTACACGCTGGCAGCGAGGAGGAAGAGGAAGAAGCGACTGATTTGCCCGACGGAGTGAATGCCAGCGTGGCTGAGTCCATGAGAGGGGAGGAGGTGAATGTTGGCGGGGAAGGTGTTAGTGACCATGGTGGGTACTACAAACACTACTTTAGGGAAATTCAAAAGCTTGGCAATGGAACGTTTGGTGGGGTGTACCTCTGCCAGCACGTCATGGAGGGTGTCGCGCTCGGGTACTTTGCGTTGAAGAAGATTCCCGTTGGCGACAATGTGGAGTATCTGCAGAAGGTACTGCGTGAGGTCCGCATCCTGGAGGAGGTCAAGCAGCACCCCAACGTCGTGGAGTACAACCACAGTTGGGTTGATGTTGCGCAGCTAGCCGACTTTGGTCCACCCGTGCGGTGTCTATTTATTCTCATGGAATACGCCACCTTGGGGTCGCTGGACTCGTATCTTGAACGGCACGGCACAGCGCTGCCGACGATTGCCGTCTGGTACTTTTTCCTCTCCGCCCTGGTTGGAATCGTTCACCTGCACAAAAAGAATATTCTGCATCGCGACCTCAAGCCGCAGAATCTGCTTCTTACAGGAGCGCCTGAGAAACCCCCACGGGTCCTTGTCAGTGACTTTGGAACCGCCACCCTCCTCGGTGAGCTGTCGTACGAGCGGACGGGTGGGACGGGGACTGTGGAGTACATGGCCCCCGAACTCTTTGAGTGTGCCGTGGAGAATAGTGGGGCGTACATCCACACACACACCAAGGCGTCGGATGTGTGGTCGCTGGGGATGATTCTGCACTACCTTGCCTGTAACGGGACACTGCCGGCGCGTCTGCCCAACGGAGCGGTGGTGTTAAGCGTAGAGGAGGCTGCCCCGTTTGTCCGGCCTCCGGAGATGATAGAACTCATTCGTGCCATGCTGCATCGCAATCCAGAGAAACGTCCCACCTGTAACGAGTTGCTGAACTCCACCGTCGTGCAAACGATTTTGCGCAGCTTTGAGAAGGCACGCCATTTCACGGATATTCTTCCCACAGCCGCAGTTGCTACCGCCAGAAAGCCACACTCGTTGCGTGGAAGGAAGCGGGATACTGCAGGACACTCAATTCATCTACACCATGGAGTCCATGACTCCCGTACTGCACGATCCAACGCTTGGACCGTTCCGCACGATAATGATGAGGAAGAGGTGTTGCAGCAGCCACAATCACCAGTGGTGGAAGTGCCGCTAATGCTGCAGTACAAAACGATGGAGTCGAGGTATAATATTACGTCTACTGGGGCGCGTGGGGTTTACAAAGGAAGAAGAGTGACTATGGTGGATCGAGCCGTGCAGACGGATTACGTCAAAATTGTCTACGAATGAAGTAACGTGTGTTGACGTTTACGCCGCGTTTTTGATTCAAGTTTTTAGTACTTCCCAAGCTTCTGGAAGCGAAATGCGTGGATAATTCAGGCGTTTTTTGTCGTTTACTATATGGGGGGGCTGCATTCTTGGAGACAGGGTTCTTTACGCTAACGTTGGTGCTCCGCCAATATGGGCAAACACACAGTGAGATATATATATATATATATGAACCAAGGTGTTCGTTTATTGGTTTCTATGCCTCTGTGCTTTCTTGTTTTTGTTTCCCCCACTCCAGCACGTCCCCTCGTTTTTTTTGTTGCTTTTGTTTGTGTGCGAGGGAGACTTCCTTGTGGTGCGTGTATGATTTTTTTTCTTTTGCGTATTGTCGCATTCATCTGACGACTACGTCTTTTTTCTCTACCTCTCTTTCTGTGGTAGTGGTGGCGGAGGCGGAGGCGGAGGCGGAGGCGGGGGGCACGGCTGGCTTGCAGGGCCTGCGTGCAGCTGCGTGCGAACCGCGCCGCATGGCGATGCCTTTTTTGTTTTTTTTTCGGATGGCTGTCTTCTTCTCTTCCCTTATTCGTTGTTTGGCGACCCGCGTGCGCGCGGGGAGGGAAAAACGACCGTTTGGCACAAGTAATTAACATGTAAAAGAGAAAGAGAGGGCGGGGTTGACGGTTGGTGGATAGTGGTGAAGAGGGCATGGTGGACGGGCGGGTGCTGAGGTAAGTGGCGCACACCGCCTGCCGGCGTGTGTGAGACGCCGTGCCGCGGGAGCCACTTGCCATGTCGCCTCACGGCAGTGCGGCGACGCTGCGGGCGCCGCAGGGCGGGGCTCCGTGTCTGACACGTGCGCTTGAGGTGCCCGTCTTGCTGCCAACGGTGCACATGCGCTGCGAAGTTGCAAGCGACACATTGGATGAGTTGCTTTACACATTGCATGTTCTGCTGCCAAGCTTGGTTGATGCGTGTGGAGGTGACTGTAACCGCCTTTACCTCGCGCTGGCGTGTGTCTGAAGCGTGAAACTGTTGGCGCTCCGCGGGCCAGGCGTCGCAGTGCCTTACTGTAGTGGCCCTGCTGCCACAACACTAGTAATGCTTTGGGTGCGCCTGCGCAGTACGGCGAGTGGGAGGTGCAGTGCGGTGGCGGCAACGAGGCCGTAGTGGCATACGGAGCCGAAGCGATTGCCGTGTCGCTTGAGCCGGTCACCGAGAGGAATCGGCGAGTGGCGCTGCGTCTCTGCCACGTGATGTAGACGTTTGGTAGGTATGCAAGGGACACGCTGTGGCGAAGGCGGCGCTGTGGGCCAAGGTGTTGATTGCACATGCGGTCCACGCCCTTGAAAAGCCTGAGGCATATTGACGCCTACACTGATTGATGTGGATGAAGTTTGATATGCACCGGCATAATTTAACCCCCGCCGCGCATCCTCCCTCAAGCGTGTGTGTGTGTGTGTGTGAGAGAGAGAGAGAGAGAACCAGTGAAAGAGGCGAACAACGTGCAGAGAACCACATCGGTGGTGCTACATATGCGAAGTCTACCGTCTCTCCCCCTTCTTTGCCTCTCACTCCTGCTGCCACTGCTGCTGCGGGGTCAGCGTGTATAGTTGCAAACACCGAAGGAAGGCAGGGCGGTGGAGGTAGGCACACGCGCGGCACCACCGATATAAACAGACAGACGAAAAGAAGAGTGTGTGTGTGAGAGAGGGAGGCGGGCAAAAGGCAGGCGAACTGTGTGGTCCGGCGTGCCTTACTACATGGAGAGTGAAGATGCTTGGCGGTGTCACTCCCTGCAGCTCCTTGAGCTTTTCATTGACCTCATCCATGGTGACCTGGTTCGTAAAGACGCCGGCTGCTGCCGCGTCGCCGACGCCTTTGTTGCGGCGTACGAAGACGCCATTCGTTGGCTCGTCACGAAGGAGCAAACTTTCACGTCGGGGCTGCGGGGCGCTATCAACACGTACTGCGCGAGGCATGTTCTTCGCACCGCGCCAGAGCTTCTCATCACGTCCGAAACGGCGGCGATGTCGTTCAAGCGGATTGCGGACATCTTGTGTGAGACGGAGGAACTTTCACACGTGGGAAAAGCTATGGCGCATGAATTGTCGCATTTGGCACGCCGCCTTGAAACCAAACGTTTTGCGAGACTACTGGACCTCATGGGCGATGCCGTCGTTGAATACATGCGGCAGGCGGTTCAACAGCATGAGGTGGAATGGGCAGTGTGCCTGACCCTGCGAGAGGAACCAGCTTTCTGGGCTTGTGTAAAGCAGTTTTCCACGGCGCCAACACGCATGGAGGGGGAAACTGTCGCTGTGCATAGAAAGCGGCCTCGTGAGGAAGTGGAGCTGGTGGACCACAACGCAGGCTCCAGGGAAGCACCGTTGCACGGCTTCTCAGAGGAGCTTCGCCTTGCAATGAGTTCCCCTGTAAGGGTTTCCCCCGCATCTGCAGTGGGCACGCGCTTTATTGCATGTGTCCAACCGAAGTCGTCTCCCCCCAATGTCACGTGGACAGAAGAAGGTAAAAGGGGCAAAGAGTCTGTGAAGGCAACTGGGCGCGCGTTACTTCGGACAAACGATTCGGTGTTGGCAACCGTGGAAGACATGGAGAGGAAGGAGTCGCAAACGGCGCAGGAGGTCGACAGCAGCTTTATCGTGGCGGATGACTCGAAAGGTTCCATTGTGCCTTCGCTGGCTGCCGTATGCAAGGGAGTCACTGTCGCTGGTGACTTCAATGAATCCGATGCCTCGCTGCTGCGTGGTGAGGTTTACGAGCGGCGCTACTTTCTCTGTGCGAAGACGAATCGATACGAGCCGGAGGGTGCACGAGGGTTTTTCACATGACAGCGGTTATCTCGTCTGGGCCCCACTTTGGTTTTTTTTTCTAACCCCCCCCCCTCCAAACTGTTTGTTTCCGCCGGTGTTATTGGCAAGCATGGGCGCGGCTTCTGCGAATGTGTGTTGTTGCTGCTTTTCTCTTTGGTGAGAGGAGTGCAGGTGTCTGTGCGTAGAATATGTATTTATTTTGCCGTTGGTTTTTTTGTTGTTTTTTTCTTTCTGCCACCGCCGCCGCCGCTGCTCTGGCGAGCAAAGAAGAGGTAAATGGGGCGCTGAGGGGGCGTATCAGCTAATGATGTCGCCCCGAATGTTTGCCGCGAGCGCCCGTGTTTACACCGCTCCAGAAACGAGGGGGTTACGTTCAGTCGACGGTGTTTGCACCGCTTGGATTTGGCCCTTCGTACGCTTCATTTTTTGCGCTTCCACCAGGCGCCACGAATGCACGTTTTGTGGGGGAAGGTTGGTAACTTATGGCGGCTCCGGCGCATGCTGCAGCTGCAAGGTTGCAGCATCATGAGACGCATACCGTCAGGACCCTGCATGACTGGGGCATGTCTTACTGCCTTAGTATCGTTTCTAAGAGGAAAGGGGGGGAGGAATAGGTGGAGGGGGGGGGGGGACAGTTCGCGACGCCGCAGGAAAAGCATTGCCTGTAGTTTTGGTGGATGTCGGTTGTGCCGAGGCCGTTCTGCGAGGCAGTGACGTGTTTGCCCCAGGCGTGGTCGCCTTCGTGGGCTCCTTCGCTGCCGGGGGGAGGTGCGTGTCGGTGCTTATTTGCAGACCGCCGAGGCAAACGCTTCGGCGACCGGCGAAGCCGAAGGCAGGACTCTGCTGGTGTGCGTTGGTCGTGGCACCGTGGTGATGGACCGCCGGGAAATGTGTCAGGCCCTGCAAAGAGGCGTTGCAGTTCGAACACGGTGGACGCCGATGGCGCAGCCCTTCAAAGCGCGTCTGGCGGTCATGCTGGGTGCAGCGGCGGAGACCCTCACAACGGCTGGAACGTGTGAAAGCACTGGACTCTTTTTCTTGCAGAATTATTCAAGCATGGTGGCTGTGGAACTTCTTATGCGGCAGCTGCGCAGCTTCGACTTCCAGGACAAACAGTCATTGTCGCTTTTAGATGCCTGTGCCGTACCGGGGGGTAAGATAAGTCTTTTGTTGTCTTTACTGCAGGAGGAGGCGCAAGTGACGGATTTCTTCCCCTAGAACGACGGCAAAGGTGTGGGCGCGGTATAGGTGACTTGTGGATCTCCTCGAGCCTCAGCTTGGGATTTCGTTTGTGAGCCACGCGGTGCGTTCCTTCTGTGACGATGTCAAAAAGGTGCAGAGGGCGCTGCATGCTGAGGGGGCTGGCACTGCAGGGATTGTGAGTTCCACAGCATTCTGCTGGACTCTCCTTGCACGCGCATGGGGCTGGGTCCGCACCTGGTCACGCCAGCAAGCATACGGGCGGCAGCAGACTACCAGCGAAAGTTGTTTGACACGTGCGTCAAAATGCTGCGGCGCACGAGAACGTCTGTGCTGGTGTACAGCACCTGCGCCGTGACGCTTGACGAAAACGAGGCTAACGTGCTGTGGGCTCTCAACACCCATCCGTTTCTGCAGCGTCCACGGGTCAACTCTGGCAATGAGCGGCGGCCGTGTTCACTTGGTTCAACAAACTTTGCCCATGGTTGTCGATTCTTGCTGCAGCAGGAGATCAACACGGCGCAGCGCCGCAATGAACTTCTTCAGGCGCCGACTTCCTTGGCAGAGCATGGCGTCGCCAAGGAAGGAGGGCTCCACTGCTGGAATTAGGCTTTATGCTGGGGCTTGCAACTACAGCCGACAAAGACGGGGTTGGGTTCTTTCTGGCGGTGTTTCGCTGCCGTTGATGCGAAGTTGACTCCCTGCAGCTCGCTGTACGGTGAAAATTCCATGGTTGAAAGGTAGTACTGTTTTTTTTTGTTGTTCCATTTTTTTCTCCCTCACTCCTCGTCGTGATGCGAACTCGCCATATGCATGTGTGCGTATTTTGTTAACTTTGGTCACTGCCTTTGTTGTATGCTGTTTATTCTTTTTCGTGTGTGCTACCTTGCTGCTTACCCTCCTCTTGTTCGGCATGGGGGCCCCTTGCCGTTGTTTATGCCTTGCCAGCGGTGAAGGAGGACCCAGAGGAAAAAGAGCAGCTCGACTACTGTGTGTGTGTGTGTGTGTGTGTGGCGAAACCGGACCGGACAGGAGTGCCTGGAGGCTCTGTAGTGCGGCGCCCAGATGAACCATGAAGGCGGGGATGAAACGGAGGAAGAAATTCCACTCGAGATTGAGGACTACTCATGCAACACACACTTTGAAAGAGTCGTTGGGGAGATTGAACGGTACCTCGTTGAGGAGTTTAGTGCACGGCAGGAGCTGCAGCGGTTCCTGGTGAATCCACTGCATCCTCCGCACTCCTGCAGGGACAATAGAGGCACGGACTCTGCGCATGCGGCAAAAGGCCGGCGCGGCAGCATTGATGGGGAGATGGTGTTTGGGCGCAGTTTTTTCATGCTTCCAGAAGGCGGCGGCGGCGGCCAGCAGGAGGGCGTGGCAACGGATGAGGGCATTGCTGTGGAGATCCATGCGCAAAGCGGCCTCCAGGATGGGCAGCGGCAGCGGGAACTACACCCAATAACCCGTTTTTTTGCGCTTCCAATATTTTTCCTGGCGCGGGGCACCACGATGGTGTCATCGTGCCGCCCCAGTGAGTCGTCGTTTTACCTCTCACTTCTCACAACGGCGGTGGGCCGCGCGTTGCGTGGACCCCTTTCCTTGCGCTTTGATGGTGATCCATCGTGCCTCCCGTCGCCGTTCTTTTACGTCGACGGGATGGCGCCATGCTTTGTTGCTGTGGGCGACAAATACCAGTTAGCCTTCAAGGGGGTGGCGCCGCCGGTCGTTGTGGGTGCCGTAGCGCGCCGGCAAACAGAGCCTTGGACGCTGCTGCAGCTCGTTGCCCAGCCTGTGGTGAGGTGTCGATTTCACTGCAGCGCCTACCCGCAGCCGCCGGAGTGGTGCCGCCGCGTCTCGGACCTGCTTGACATGTTTCAGCTTCAGATTGGACCACAGAGTCGCCTTCAGACAGAGGTGTTTGACGGTATTTGCGTGTCTTTGCAACGAGCGTTTCGCTTGAGTGTGCCTCGGCGCTTTTGGGTGAATGATTATGCCCAGACGGGACCCGCCGCCCATGCATGTGCCAACGCGCCAGCCCCCACCTTGTTGTGGAATGATGTTCTGGAGCTTGAGAATGCAACCATGGTTCTCTCTGCAGGGCCAATGACGTTCCCCTTTGGCACCGGCACTCCCCCCTTACGTGGCATTGACTTTTGCTTTCAGTGGAACCAGCTACTCGACACCGAGGTGCACGACGATGGGGGGTGGAGCTCCAATCTTGGCCCCTTTGCCCCGGAGGGGATGCTGTTGCAGGGCAAGTTGGTCATCCACGCCGTGGCGATCCCCAAGAAGGAGTGTGAGTTAAACCACACTGCATGCAAAGGTCTTTCGGAGTACGTGTATCGCGTGATGGAGCATCTTTTAGCAGACGAGGAAGTGCAAGAGGAGCAGCGCTGCTCGGATGATCTTTCCAACGTGGTACATGACATTCTCTTTGGCCACACAATAGACCCAACAAAGCAGCAGGCACTTGTGGAGCGCCTGGCGACGCACGCGGCACCCAGCCAGGTGGTCAAGATGGACATTCGTCGTGTTTACTTTCCTGGATCCTTCCTTTGCCGTTTTGCGCACGCGTGTGTCAATCGAGTGCACAGTTTGGATGATGTTCTTCCCCTATGGCTGTTGGCTGTGGAGCAGCTCGGAAGCCTACTTGAAGGCAAGGGCGATAGACGGCACTCCCTACTGGAACTCATTCGCGCCCTTGGCCTTCCAGATGTGGAGGAGATTGATCATGGACTGCCATTAGTGGTTCAGAAACTGCAGCTCCTGTCCTATTGTGCGAGGCGCATGTTGGGTGACACTTCACCCGCCGTGGCCGGACAACCCGTTGATGGCTGGGATGACGACATGGGGGAGTTAGTTTCAGATCACAACGCGGGCGAGGCTCTTGCAGCCGAGGGCGAGCTTTCACTGAAGGGATTTGTTGTCTCTGGGAAACGCCTTATCACCAATGGCGAGCCCTTGCTGGAGCCAAAGACACTTCCCACCCCTCCCTGCACTTCGGATGTGATACTGATGAAGGCAAAGGAGCTGCAGACTCTCGGCACAGCGTCCGCAGGGCGGCACACTCGTGCGTGGATGCAGAGTGAAGGGTTGTTTAATGACATGTGTGCGTTCCTCTATTTTAACAGGGCCCATGAGGGGCGTGTGGTGCGTTTTCCGGATTTTGTTCAGTGGCACAGCCCCCGTGACTTTATTCCGCCCTCCTCCGACGCAGTGGCGACAGATGACGATGCCTACTTGTCAGAGCGGATGCGGCGCCACTCTGACACTGAGAACGCGTGGGTGAAGAATATATGGTGGCCACTGTGGGAGAAGGCTACACCGCGCTCTCCGGAGGAAATTATGGCCCAGTCGTTCGTTCCCCACGAGCAGGCGCGGCTTGTTATTCGATGGATGGAGCGGGACCTTTCCGCTGCGCGTCTCCTCCTTGAGACGGTGCACGCCAACTTTACGAATTCGCTGCATCGTATCCTCTCACATCGCTGTGTGGAGGACAATCAGGCCATCGCGGCATATGCGCAAAGCAAGAACGACGCCATCGCGAGACACCTTAAAGATGCGATGCGCTGGGACGACGACCCCCGGCTGGACAGCGAGGGCCTTCGCACCACCTACGGCACTGCAATTCGTGAGATTGGGGAAATCGAAACGTGTCTGTGCGCTGCTTTGGCGACGGAGCGTATGCTGGGTGCGTTCCACAAGACTAGCAGCGCACCACCGCCGCCTGCTGGTGAGCCATGCACCTCCGTGGAGCAACTCGTCGCGACGCTTGCCTCTCCGCTGGCGATGGAGGCGGATCCTACGGAACTCGCCTTGAGGGCAGCATCCATGAACTGGGATGTATGGCACCGCAGCGGCATCGCACAACGCTTTACTGCGGACGATCAGAATCCTGTGACAACGCGGCTTCGTGCGACGTGCATGGCGGAGCGGCCACTCAATACCACAGCATGCTTCCAACAAATGTTTGCGGAAACAGACGAAACGGGCGCCTTTCGCGTGGCACTGGCGCTGGCTGAGGAGGTTCTGTGAAAAGGGAAAAGAAAACAGGTGTGATCCGTGGCGTCCCATCACTTGTTGTTGTTGTTCCTGTTTGTTTGCCGTTTTTCTTCGTATTCCATTGCGTCGTCTTTTTGCGGGGTCGGTGAGGATTGAGTCCACACTGGCAAGGAGGCAAAAGAGAGACGATAAGCGCAGCACAGGCACACACACACACGCACACACACACACACGCACACACACACAGAAGAAGAAAGATAAAAGGAGGGAAAACATGGCTGACATTGCTCTTTGTGCTCTTCTCTCCGGCGGCTTTGTCGGTTCCATCTACGCGTGGCCGAGGGAGCGTCAATTCGCACGCCGGTGCGTGAGAGACCTCGAAGCGGCGTCCATGGATGAGGCTTGCCGCGTCGTTCGCGATGACGCGTCGACGATTCGAAGACGCGCAGTGTCGTTTGTTGGCGCCACGGGGGCGAGCGCGCTGCTACTGGAGGGCCTTCTTCGCAGGCAGCCCGGCGCCTGCCAGCCGCTCTGGGGTAGCGTTCTCCTGCGCCACGCCGTTTTCCCCGGTGACCGCACGATTTCCCAGTCTCTGGCGCTGGTTGCGGGGACCGGCGTGGCGACGTTGGTGCTATTCAGCGGCCCGCTTGTGGAGGGCGTTCGGTTTCCCACATGGT